AGCAATGTTTGCCTGTTGGTATTCAGAATCGCTAATGCGTTGGTAACTTCGAAATAATAGCTAATAAATAAGTATAATATCCAGCGTGCATCGTCAACGTCTGTGTTTGTGTTAATTTCAAGCGTTTAGTTCCATCCAAGATCCATGTCCAATTTTCTGCGGAATTGGATGTTGATCGTTTCAGGTTCATCATGACGCGTCGTAGCGCGTCACTTTGCAATTGAAAAAAAAATGGAAAAGTCTTCTCGGTCTCTCAGTCGAGAGCCTTCTCTTCCTCGCAGCATATACGTATTACACAAAGGAACAAAGTACTCGTTTGAGCACTATCTCAAGTTTGTCTTTTAAATAAATAATGCGAGTCCTGTCAACTTGCTCGAAGTTGGTTTGAACATTTTTATCGGTCGAAACAGAAGAGAAATGTCTGAATAGATCTTTTTACCTGAGACTCACGCAAGAGTACTAATTCTAGAAGTAGATTGAAGAGAATTATTATGCATGTTTCAAAAATACGTCTGCACTTATCTTTGGTGTCGCCTGACAGAAACTTATATACATTCCAAAGGAGTTCAAATTGTCCCGCCGGTATACAATTCCTCCAATTCCCTTACTTTTATTTCATGTAGTAGTTGTTTTGTTCAGTAAACCTTGAGACAGCGCTCAACGGATCCAGGCTTTGAGAAACTATGGTAATATTCTTAGACCTGACTTAAAATTCAGAGGGCGTGTAGCACACAATTCATGTAGATTTTATTATTTTCGGAAACGTCCAGTAAAACAGTCATTACTTTTCAAGGCTCTGCAGCTATATGTTACATATCAATACAAACGAGACATTCTACGCATGAAAAAAAATGACCAATTTAGAAGTGAGACTCGAGGAGCAGAAAATTGCTATTTACTGATGAAAGTCTGAAATTGAAATAAATTAATGATAGTAGTAACGATAGATGAGTGATGAATGATTAACATGAATGAAATGACTGATTATGGCGTTGACGTGTATCTCGTAGGTGCTCAAATCCACTTAAATAAATTTAAAGAGAGTAGAACATGTTTAATTGGCTTTGAGATGCTTATTTTCCACTTTTTGATAATGATGAGTTTCATATTTATTTGTATTTAAAATAAACTAACAATAAGTATTTTTATCAAAGTGATGATGCATCAAAGAAAGTACTTGCAATTCATGGTTGTTCATCATCTGAGCTGTAGCGCATGGAGGAAATGACTTAATTTTTTCATGTCACTGAATTTCGTAAAATGTAGGTTCTTTAATGCAGTTTTGCAGATGCTTTTGTCATAGCTGCAGCTGAACCTTTCAATCCAAGTGAGAGCATAAGTTCCCAGAAATAAAGCTGGGGGCAGTGAGCATACAGTGAGCTGCTTTCATAACTCCATCTCTCCAGAACTCGATTTTGTTGCAATTCCGCTACAATAAAATCTGCGAAGTAATCGGCAGAGCCAAGTCAAGATGAAGTCTGAAACCATGCACCTTATGGTAGCCAACTCGTTAAAAACCCGGTTGACTTCTCTCGCGGCCACATATGACTTCCAAGAAGGCAAGTTTGACGAATTGGCATCAATGCGGACTTTCTTCTCCTGCGGAAGCTTCCTTGTTCCATCATCGCCTATTGTCTCTTTCGCAGAAGCTCGGAGCATGTTGGAATTAAAAATTAATTAATGAGTCATTATCGTGAGTGATTGGACGGCAGACCTGGAGGTAAATGGGGGAGAAAACGGTTTCATCTCTGAAAACTGAATTAATTTATTGCTATGACTTGGAGACCGGTGAGCTCATTAATATCAGACATTTACGGACTTAAACGACGAGGACGGGTAGTTGCTAACCACAAACTCAATTCTCTTGAGTTTGCGGCACATTAAATTGTAGCTAGAACCTCAGCTACACACGGAGAGCAATGCTTTCATGTAATGAATTATGCGATTCTATCCAATTTTTCCACTTTTCTCACGCAGCAGAAATTCTGCTATACTCTGAAAAAAAACAATTGTTTAGTTAATGATTCCTGGGCGAGATATGGCCACCTTCCGGCCAAAGTATCACAAGCGTCATGCTATGTTTAAAAATTTCCGCCGCCATTTAATTTTTTATTTTTAAGAAATTGTGCAACGAAGCTGTCTGAAAATTTCACTGAATTTTCTTTGTGCATCTGATAAAATTCAGTGAAATTTTCAAACAGATTAAACCAACGATTTCTCTGTAAAAAAAATGATGTTGCGGTGGAAATTTTGAAGCGTCGTATGGCGCTTGTGATGCTTTGGCCAAAAGGTGACGATTTCTCGTTAACTCACCGAGAATTTGCAAATTTACCACGTCATATGCAAAAATCTGACGCTGGGCCACATTTTCAAAATCAGAATAAAACGAACTCATCTGTATCAATAGCCGCACAAATCATGAAAAGCGGCCCGGTTGAACGCTAGAACTAAGCGTTACCAGAGATGAAAATTTAGGATGTCTGAGAGCTTACAGTATAGATAGTAAACGAGTAGCATAATGGATTTAACGCTGAGAAACTATTGAATTTATATGTTGAATGGCTGAGTTTGCTTGGTTGAGCAGAACCGTGTTCATTATTGGAGCGAAACAGCACGAATCAGATCATTCCTTTTCGACTCTCAATTTTTGCAAGATCAAAGCTTGCAGCCCAGGCTGTTCTCGACGTAAACTGTGGATGAACTTCACGGATGAAGTGCTATGGTTTCCACAGACTGCGCATGATTTATTCGTGGCTTTTGAAGCGCCTTACTTTAAAGTGAACAATTTTGATCTCTTTTCCTTCGAATAAATAAAAATGGAGCGGAGATCATTAAATACCGCAAACGAAATATGTGCCTTGGGAATTTCACCATAGATATACACTGAAAAAAAATTCTCGGCGTTTTTACCAAGGTCCGTTGGTACCTTTACCATCTCACTTTTTTTACTAATTATTGGTAATTTTACTAAGACAGACTGGTAAGCTTACCTAAAAACTAGTATTTTTACTGTTTTTTTTCAGGTAAGAATACCACTTTTATTGGTAATCAATTCCCGGTAACTTCGCCATTTTATCTCGGTAATTCTACCACAGTCGATAAAAAAATATTGGCGTTTTTACCGGGGTCCAGTAAAATTACCGAGAATGTCAATAATGTTACCGAGATTTCTCGGTAAAATTACCAATTCCATAAATGGTAATTTTACCAAGAAGAAACTGGGATCAAATAGAACCCTGAATTCTTGGTAATTTTACCCTCTTCTTAGTAAATCCACCGACATTTTTTTTTCAGTGTAGGGGTGGTGCAGGACTCTTAGATCACCCTCTATATATCTCTAACATCCATATTTCTTGTACATCCCTATTTTAATCCATATTTCCCTTGATATTTTTCTAAGTAATCTGAGGAGTGTAAGACCGGAGCCCCTAATGCGACGTCACCAAGCAGTGGCCTCCTTCTCTGCTCCACTAATCAGGGCGGCGACCGCGGGCCGGAGGGTGGCGCGCGCGCGCGTCGCGGTGCTGATCAGCGATCAGTGATCACCACGCTCTCTCACCTCACCTCTCGACCCGGAGCCGGCTCCCGAGTCTCCACCGGCGCGGTCCAGACGGTTTTTCGTCTTTCTTTAATTACTATCTCGCGCCGAATATCCCGGCCGAGTGGCTCTGGCATTGTTTCAACAACAATGGACGCTGACGCGGCCTATTGTTCGGGGTGGTTGAGTGCCTGTCGCGACCGAAAATTGTGAAACGCCCCCGAAAAGCGTCGCACAGCGGATCCAGTTCACGGGGGAGGTCGGACAAAATTTGGAAACTTTTAAAGCTTGTATAACTCCGTTAAATCGAAACTTTGAGATGTAAAAAATCGTTCCATTGGTTTCCTTGTAAAATTTTCTTCCTTAAGCGCCCCTCAAATTTAAAACGTGACGAATTTTACATCAAAATTCGCAGTTTTGGTCAAAAATTTCATGTTCGAACTATCTGATTGATTCGATCCACTGTGCGTCGCCCCAATCCTTCAATACACCACCTCCACATAGCTCTCCTCGGCTGATTCGTAGCTTTTTAGTTACTCCACGCTGTAAGGGTGGCATTAAATGCCATCACTGGGATGATTATAGACATTAATAGATAAAGCTATAAAAGGATCGGTCCATTTTCATCGTCTGAAGCTTTGTCCATCAATTTCAGTAACCAGCGTGAAAGAACTAAGGCGAGAGGAAAAATTCCAAGACAGCCTGAAAATCTTCATGAAGAGGGGTGGGAGGGGAGAAGGAACCTGATATGGGATAAGGGAAAGGATAACAAAATCGCTAAAGTGTCTAACGTCAATGGACCACCTCATAGACAAAACACCGCGAGTGATGGCGAGGTAACAAATTTGCATTTATACGTCACCACTGGCGGTATATGTTCTCCATAGCTGCTGTGACAGCACTGCTTCTCCAAGTTAGTGTTGGTGTAAATTATAAATGTTTAAAATGTTTTTGATTAATAATCATAAAGAAATCAACTCAAAAAGAAAAAGCTGGCATGAAAATAGTCAGGTTAAATATCAGTATAAATAATTACCGTATAAGGCTGATCATAGATAGCACAAGACACAAAACTTCGACCACATAATTTTTGATGCACGGGAGATTCGATCAGGCCTACCTAAAAGATTGAAGGTGAGATGAAAATGTATGTTGTCCTCTTGGTGTCACTTCTGCTTCTTAAAAAGCCGGAAAACGCCACCGGCACCGGCCACAGCAGATCTAACAGAAAGGTGTCCCATACTTATGCCGTATATGACGTGAAGCAGTAACTGCCCTTGCATGCTGAAGCCTCATTTATATTCCTGGTAAATGCTCTCTCTCTAATCATTTCTCGGTAATAGAAATTGTCATGCAATTTTTGTATACCTTTTAATGCATTTATCTATTTCCCATTCATTCTGTTATTTTTTGGTCTGATGTTACCGTGTCACTTATTTCACTCTCTCATTGTGTGTTTCAGTTGCAATATTTGTCTGAATGCAGAAAAATAAGCATCAACTGCGGCACTGGACGGTAAATAAATTGTGATTTTCTTTTACCTCAGTAAGAATTTATGCCTCATATAATGGGAATAAGGTCCTCAGTATTTCTTAAAATGTTATTTGTTCGTGGGAAACATTACAGGGCCCCGCAAATGATCAAACCGGAATTCAATATGGTCAAGCCTGAATAACTGGAAACTGGAGTTAGAAATCAAGTTCGCCTTCAACTCAATGGATGCAATTTTAGCGGCTCAGGAGTTTATATAGTTGTATCACTTGTTAGTCTAGCGTGATGTCCAGGGGCGAGTGGCATTCGTTGCAATCGTTGTCTGTTTTCAATAACCATAGCAGCGAAGCGTCCAATAACTTTTATTCGATCCTCCCCAACGAAAAATATTCTGACATCGAGAAAAGTTCCAGCAGTTAGAATTGAGCATCGCCTTCAACTTGACCTGAAAACTTTTTTGCAAAAAGTCATGTATACAACATTGCATGGGGTCTAAATTTTTTGGGTCAAGAGATGTGGGTTAAAAGGTCTGGACGAATTATACCGTGGGTGGTGGGTCTGCGGGTGAGTAGTCACGGAATCATTTTTGAAGACCATTAATGCTGAAAATTAACTTCAAACGATTAAATAGTAGAAAAGGAGGACGTCCTCTAAAAAATCACGTTTTTACGTTGAGTACAAAGTGACAAACCCTTTCTCCTCAGAACAAACAATACAGATTGGTGGCATTACACTCAATAATGCGGCAACGCTCCTTGTAATAAGTTGGTAGTAATAAACCGTGTCATGAGTATTTTTTTTTTCATTTGGTCTCGTCATTTTTTAGGGGGAGTTTTTCAGGATTGGGCCGGGGTGGCTACCGCCACCTAGAATGATCATTAAATGCCGCTTTTAAGATGAAAGCTGATGAGACATTGTAAAATGCTGACGAAAAGGTCCTTAGCACCCACCCTGTGTCCCTCCTGGAGGAAAGTTTGAATACCAAACTGCGGTGCTTAGGAAAAACGACGCATGAACATCCGAGAGTTGCCAAATTTCCTCCCATATGATGTTTATTTTTGAGGGAAAACATACGTTTTTTTCCTTGATATTTTCAGGAACTTTAGGAGGAATTTCGAATAAAATTATCTGAAAAATCGGATGAAAAGTATTCATAAGTTTACCAAGAAATTCGCGTGTTATCAAAAGCAATTTTGCAACGCCTCAAGGTTCATACATCGTTTTTTCCATAGGGAAGCAGCAAAGAGGAGCATCCTCCTTATTCAATCACGAGGAAAAACGATGAGTTGACTTTGGCAACGCGGGTGATTCAACTGGGATCCAGTTTGCGAAAGTTACATAATTCACCCGATAAGTGTGCATAATCAACGCACATCGGATTACTCTCCGCGTGTAGATAGAGTGCTCTCACGAAATTAGGTAGAAAGATGTCGGCCGCCGGGGAGGCCCACCGACCTGGGGCAGGTGTGGAAGGCCTTGGTCCATTCGTTGGCTCATGCCGCACAGGAAAGATGATTCGCAAGTGGACCGAGTTCAACAGATACACACAGTGGTGTGGTGTGAATGATCGATTATCGATATTTTCCCATTTGCAGCTATCATAAATAATCGATTTTTGAGGTGTTCGTTGCGGACACCCTGATAATCGAGTCTTTTCCTAGGTTCGGATCAATTGGATTGCATTTTGCAAAAAGCAATCAGGAGCATTGCAATGTTGCTAAAATTGTGCATCTTCTTTTGTCTTGGAGGAAAAACCCAATTATGCATTAACAGTTCCTATTTTACTCGCTAAAAACTATAGATTTAAGACAAAAATTATTAAGTAAATTTCATATTGTTTCATGGTTTCAGTAATTTTATTGCAAGGATGAAGTTGCACAATCTTAGCACCATTGCAATGCTTCTGGTTCCTTTTTGCAAAACGCAATCCAATTGATGTATCGCAAAGCATGCTACGCAATCGGAAACACACAAACTTGCGTTTTGGAGAAACATGAGTTGGATGCAGTTTCGATTTCAACATGTTTTCCTCCGGTCAGTATTTCAAAAGTGAGGAAGAATATTAAATTAAATGAATTGATTAATATAATCAAAAAGAAGCGGGCCCTAGAAAGGCTCAAGGTGAAATAAATTGGTCGGTTGGACTGGTCACAGAATCGCGTTTTGATTATTGATTCATGGAGATTAACTAAAAATTATAAGATCTGTCCAAACAGCACCTTTCTACATTCAATATTGACCGAGGTATCGCACTTTGATAAAGTCGGGCAATAACGCCATTCACCGGGGTGGTGACACCCTTGGTTCCTTCCATCTTGCTTTCATCCGAGTTTCATGTTGAGTATTTAGTGCAAGTAGGTGTGTCTCTTTGACCAATGAAACCAGGGTGGAAGAAACCAAGGGGTTCACTAGCGCGGTGGATGACGTCATAAACCGAATTTTTCAAAGCTAGCCTTGAGCGCAGAGTTGCTTTTCGTACAGATCCTATTATTTTTAGCTGACCTACGAGAATCTATAATCTAAACACGATTCTGTGACCAGCGCAACTGACCCATTGATTGGTGGCGAAGATCCGCTGAAATCTCGAAGAAAAAATACGTAAGAAATGAACGTGTCCAAGAGATTATGAACGATAAAGAGACAATTGTGCACGATAACATGACCAAGCAGCTGGTGTGTAATTGGCGTGTACTCAGAGTGGCCGATACCAGGTTGCCAAAAAATGTTTCGGAGTGTTCCTCCAGGTGGGCGTAGCGGAGGGTGTCCAGACCAGAGTTAAGGTAGATCGATAGCATCCACAAAGAGATGGAGGAATGCTATCTTCCGGAAAATCCCTGCCATGACCAGATTTCTGTGGTGGTTGGACGTCTCAGAGCGCTTCAGTGCGCTGTAAAAGCGTCTACTATACATACATAAAAGAAAACATATTTTGAACGTGGAAATAGTTGCTATTGCCCTTGACATCGAGTCTTATGCAGGAAATAAAACGTAATAGTTCCGACGAGGACAGTAAAACGAAATAGTTTCTAAAGAGGACAGTAGAAGACCTATTGTGGGTAAAATACAAACTTTCACAAGGGCAAATACCTGGGATCGCGCCATCGATGACTTTTTTTTTATGTACGTGCTCTTGCAGAATAATGATGTGGATGAGGATTTTTCCAAAACTACCACTGAGCTATAAAGCTTTTAAGTACTTTTATACATATGCCTCATGCCCAGAGACAATGAGGCAAATAATAGGGATTTTTACTTTGTGACACATTCGATCTTGCTGCGTCACAAATACATGTTCATCCCCCATTTCTTGTTTGTTTGTTTGTTTGTTTGTTTGAGAAACTTTGCGTCCTGGAATCCATGTGCGTAGCAAGAAAAAGAAGCCAAAATGTTGTGTTTATATGGGAACTAAAACATGAAGAAACAAAAGTTGTTGGTTAATTTTTTATAGTAGTTTCCCCTGCGTCAAATCAACCAAATCTTAGGGTTGATGGGACCGAATCTCCATGTTGAAAATCTGCGACCCCGGTAAAAGTAAGTTGCCAGCTTTTAGGATCAAACCTTGATCATATCGAGGGTAATCTAATGCGCTATCCACTCGCAAGTCGCGATCTCTGACTAAGGGGAGGAAAACAATTACGAATATATTCTGGAGTACATAAGCTCGGCAGGACACTTTTCTCATGATTTGTTGTCTCAGAATAACCTACGGTTTGAGCCAATGTAACACAATTTGTCTGAGCAGTCAAGTCTTTTGGATATTGATCTGACACAAATAAGTGACACAAGTAACACAAAATAACACCAAACTCGGGAATTTCTAGCTGTGTGGGATATGCCGTTTTACTTTCAGAATATGTTTCCCGTATGGGTATGAAGTTTTTTCCCCTGAAAGGATTGCCTTGATACAATTACCTATGGGAATTCTATTTCCACATGGATTTTCATACAACCGGTTAGCTCCGAGTCTGCAGAATGCAATTACCGGAGTAAACCGCGAAACGCCGCGGCGTACAGTGGATCGAGTCAATAGGAGAGGTCGGACAAAATTTAGAAATTTTAAACGCTTATAACTGCGTTTATGCAACACTTTGAAGTTCTAAAAGTGGCTCCATTGGTTTTTTCGTGAATTTTCTTCCAGAAGCACCTCTTAAAGTTTGAAATGTGACAAAATAAACATCAAAATCTGCGGTTTTAGTCAAAAATTTATGTCCGACTTCTCTGATTGACTCGATACGCTGTGCGGCGACGGGATGACGGTGCGCCGCGCCGCGGTGGCGTGACCCCCTCCCTTCTTCCCCGTAGAATCCGGAAATATATCCGACGAGGAGCCAATCCTCGTTGGAATCCAATTCGATTCGGTTTTTTTCTTTTTTCGCACAGGCGGCCAAAAGTTTCGCAATTGCCAAATTCTACGAAAAAAGGAAAAAAAAAACTTGAATGTCTGTGAAATGTCTTGAATGTTCGCTTTGAAACGTATGACATTGTGCAAAAGTAGAAATTCCATTCCATTTTTTAAGTACAAATTAAATACAGGATGATTTAAAAGTCCCGTGCCCTCTACAACTCCTAGATTTTATGCTCCTTTTCAGGATGGTCCCTTTAAAATGTTGGTGGTTCCCATAGGCCGTTTCTTTTGACCTAGGAGCAGGAGCACTCACAAAATTTCAAGTCTTCATCTTAAATTTTTTGAATATTACTGGGGTGATGCCCGATGCGGGACTTTCTGATCACCCTGTATAATATACTTCCTCTCATCGTGAACATTTCTCGGAACGCACGTGCTGACTTGATTTGCAACTTCTTTCAAAAGAGAGTTGGTCGATCTTCCCATTTCAGTGGTTCAGTTATGGGTGTCATGGGATCGTATATTTTGATCGTCACATTTTGTGTAGACTAAGTGACAAAAATAAAATTCGCATATATGTCACGTTTCTGCGTTCGATAGCAATGGAGACATTGTCTTTTGAAAACTGCACCATGTCAGTGCATACCGTGACTACTTCCACGTTGGTCTCATTCATGAT